GGCGGAGGCGGGGCCGCGGCCGCCCCTGAGAGGCTCCCCGGCGGCGGCGGCGGCCCAGCCTCTTCTTTCCTCGCACAGCCAGGCGGCCCCACTCGAGGCCCGCGTCGCCATGGCTGCGGTTCCCGAGTTGCTGCAGCAGCAGGAGGAGGACTGCGGCAAGGTGAGGCCCTGCCCGCCCTCAGGCTCCAGGACGGGAGGCCCGCCGACCTCCCGGGCTCCGCACTCAGTCCTCCGTCCCTTAGGGCTCCCAGCGTGGGCGTTGCTCCCCCGCGCCGTCCGCCCCTGAGCTGCCCCAGGCGCCCTCTGCGGACCCGCCGGGGAGAGAACCCGAGCGGCGGGCTCGCTCCCTAGAGACCCGGGGACGCGTGCTTGTCGTAGAAAGTTCTTAAAACTTCCTTGGTTCGGCGAACACCGGAGGGTGAAACATGAAATCCACGACCTTTGTAGCAAACTGCAGAGCTCTATTTTTGTTGCCTCATGTCCGCGCGCCACCCCATTGAGAAAACTCTTTTTGGCCCAAATACGGGGAAATTCCATCAAGTCAAATCTGAAGCGTGTTCCTTACAGCTTTGTAGGCGCTAAATGCGTCACTGCGAGAGTTCTGTTTTTCTGGTGGGTGCTTAAATGGTTGAATTTTGTTTTCGCTTTTAAGAGTTTTAAAACTTGGTTATTTCTGGAATCACCCCTATGCGGCTTGGACCTTGAGGTCTGAAAGGTAACTAACGCAATAACGTTCATGGTACCATAGCCAGTTAAAGATGTAGGGGAAGCCTCTGCTCTTGGCCGTTTACGTATAAGTTTCGAAATTAATAGGGGTTGGTAAGAGTACAACGTTTTGTGCAGAATTATCCACAGGAAAGTTTCTCTGACGATTAAAAAAAGTGGTCTAAAAATTCCGGGCGCTCTCAAATTGAAGTAACCTGCAAGGCATCTCTAAAAATCAAAGGCAGCTTTGATCCCCAGCGCTTTGGAAAGACTTTTTCATCTAGTAAGTGCCAGAGATCACACAGGGTTGCTGAGTTGTTCCAGCAAGGCTGTCCCTGCTGTATTCGTTACTGAAATGGAATACATACGCATGAGGGTCTTGGTTGGGGTATGTATGTTAAGTTGAAGTAAATTCTTTTCTCTCCATAAAGCCAGAGTGTAAACTTGAAAACGATTCTTTCTGGGACATTCCAAAGGTAATTTGCTTTCTAGAGTTTTTATGGTTAAATAGAAATTTTGGTACATTTATTCCCCCTCCGCCCACCCCCCACCTACTTTCATTCTTGATCCAGAGTCTATTTTAGATAGCTGGTTAAAACTTAACCGGTTTAACTACCTTCCTATTTGTTGTATAACCATTGCTGGTTTTTAAAATAATTTCCCCAACACCGATTCTTCAGCAAAATGGGACTGTTATGACTGCTGTTTCCTGCCTCCTGGTTTTAGTGGCTACAGGAAAGGATTGCACAGAATTTCTTTCCTAATTTTTTTAGATTGCAGAAATAAGGAAATAATGAAGTTAATAAAATATCACTCAAACACATGGATTCATTTTTCTTTCTGATCTTCGGTGCTTCTGTGATGTGGATCAAGTCTAGAGGGTTTTTACTGTACAGGAAAAAGTTTAGGACAAGTGTGAAATAACACGAGGGCAAATCTTGGGCAAAGTAATCTCTTGCTGTAATAAAGCTTTGTTAGTCTACTGAAATACTTTCCGTTTTTGCTGAAAGTATTTTAAGTTTGAACTGTCTCATCTGCTTTGGAAAGTTTTCTCAAGAGGGTGCTGTGCTGATGGGAGGATGGGGTTCTTGAATTTAGACCCACTAAAAATGCAGGGGACGTGATTGATTCTTGAGGATTTTTGAATGCTGGTACAGAACTTCTGACTAGTTAAGCAAAAAAGGAGTCAGCCTGTATTTGGTAGCATGGCACTTCCATTTAGTCATATCCTTCTTAGCTGAGGTTGTTAATTTCTCTTCTTCCCCAAAAAGCAGTTTTCTGGGAAAGTTGCATGATTGGTGTTTATCTAGTCCTCTGCTGATGGGAAAGATTGTATTGTGATCTTTTCATTTAGAAAAAGATTTTGCCAAGTCTCCAGCCCCTGAAAAAGTTAACTGAAATATTAACATTGTTAGGCCCCTTTTTCATGATAAATGAATACAGTGCTGCCTCCTCCCCACCTCCCACAGTGATTTGAATCAGCATTCTCGGGTGTCTGGAGGTTTTAGTGGTTTGGGGGAAAATTGGTTGGAGATTTTGCAAAACCTTGTTCCCATAAAAGTAACATTTACCTAGGCCCCTAGTCATTTTGCACCTTCTAGGTTCTCCAGGCCTTCTGTTTGCCAAAAAAGCCTTTTAAACAGCTGGCATCATGTTTCGGTTTCCACTCACAGATTCCATATGATGAGTTCCCGTTAATCTTGCAAACCTGTGGCAAATGGAGGATGGGTCCTTGTTTCCTGGGACTTTTTAAAAAAGTAATTGTTAAATTGTTAGTGGACTGAAGTAATTGGAGTGCACAGGAAAAGCTTTGTAAAAGCAGGTGGTGACTGCCCTTCTCAGCCGGGTGCTGTTCCTTCACCTCGGCTCTGGTTGGCTACGTGGGCTTTGGGTGGACGGTGTTTCCTTCTCAGAGCCAGCCGTCAGTATTTTGTTACGCTGCTGCCCTGTGGTTTGCCGGTAGTTTTTTGTTCGCTGCTGTGGACGTTGTCGCTAGGGACAGTACTCTCCACCAGGTTAAATTGAGGGTCAGTACAGGAATAACTTGAATTTTCACCAGTGCCAGTCCATATTAAGTGATTCCTGTAGAATGAGGTCTTCTGCTGCATTTGATGACTGGATTTCACTTTTTTAAGTTTGAGAAGGAGGGCATATGAAAGCTGCCCAAGTCTTAGTTCTGGGCCAGTAACTTGCATACAGTGTCTTCAGATCCCCATTTGTGAATACACAACAGCAGGTCATAATCTCCCTTTTTTTTTTTTTTTTTTTTGGCTGTAGGACGAAATGGCTGAAGGGAGGCTGATACAGAATTTTCTGGATTCTCAGGTCCAAATTGTCATTTGGTATGAGACCTAGTAAGTGACTTACTAGAGCTTCAGTTTAAACCAGAATTTCTTAACCTGAGCACTGTTGGTTGACATTTTAGGCCTGATGATTTTTTGCTGTGAGGAGTTGTCCTTCCTGTGCATTGTGGCATTATTCCTGGCCTCTATTGGGTGACAGATGCTCCCTTCTCTCCATTAGTGACAGTCAGAAATAAGTGGAGACGTTGTCAAATGTCCCCTGGTTGAGACTTACCGATTTAAACTTTCCTTTCTAAAATGGTGTGATGTGGGTGGGTCAGGTGTTGAAGAGACTAATCTTTAATGTGCCAGTTTGTTTCAAGCTACTTTTCAAATCTGTGATAAATGCTAAGGAGATAACATGCTGTGTGAAACAGAAGCATTGTTGCCTAATCTTTGGTAGAATTAGCACCCCCCCCCCCAATATTTAGGAATCTTAACAAAAACCAGTGAAGGGTTCTGGGTAGTTGAGGGTTACGAAGAGGCAGTTGTGTTCGCTTTGTTGGAGTTTAGTGCCCACTTTGGACAGGGGAAACCTGAGGCTCTGAGGCCACAGCACTCAGCCGTTGTGGGGCAGAATTGAAGCTCACTGAGAAACATGCTGCAAGGTAGAACTTGGATTAAAATCCTGCTTTTTAAACATTGTGCCTCTTGTCCTTACTACTTGAAATTAGGCAAGAATAGTTCTGTGGGTCGGTACCCTGAAAACTTCAAGTACCCAGCGGAGAGAGGAGCATGCAGTGAATGAAGTTAGGTAAAATTTAGGGAAACAACCTTTTAATCAGTTTAGTTTTTTTGAGGAAAGTGAGCTTTGTAAGTTCAGCCTTTTCTTTCTGAAATAGTGAAGGAAGATGGCTGTGGGACATCTTGTCTTGCATGAATGGTGAATTTGTTTTTTGCAGTTATAAACTGAGACGCGTATTTTCTGACATAACTTAAGAAGAGATTCCTCCTGAAAGGGGACGTGGAGTTAGTCAGCTGTTCCATACCCCCGAGGCAAACCGTAAATACCCTGGGAGAAGTGAAGTTGCAGTTGAGGTGCAGTGGAGAGATTACTGAGCTTGAGTTTAGAAATTGGGTCCTTGCCTTGACTCCTTCCCACCGTTTTTTTATTTGGTGTAACTTTTTCAGGCACCGCTGTATGGTCTGGCGGGAAAAGTAGTTTTCTCAAAAAAGTAGTTTGTGTGGTATGCGTTTTCTGCCAGAAGAGTTTATAGTTTACTTTTTTTTAGGGGTAGATCCCTAAACCTTCTGTCCAGTTAATGGTGGGGAGTACAAACGTAGGTGTCGCCAACCTTAGGGCTTTCGCCTGATCTTTCATGAAGAGCTGTGCAAAGCTTGCATGGGTGCTAACGGATACCAGGTAGCTGATGAGTGATAAAGAGAGATACTGGAATATTTATATCAGTGATCTGGGAAGTGTGTGATACGTCTGACTAAAGGCCCAAGAAATCTCGCCAGGAAGCAAGCAGCCTTTTCTCTCCATGCTGCCATTGGTGTCTCAAACTGAGATGACACAAGCTTGAGCACAGACAGTTCTGTCCATGTTGCTGAATCTTTGGTGGTGGTAAAGGTAAATTTTATTCTCAAATCTATTTGTTTTATCTTGTGTTGATCATAAAGTAAGACTGGTTTTTGGTAAAGAGCTGTGGACTTGATAGACCAGAAACTTTTGGGAGGGAGCCTGAACGGGAGAAATTAGTTTTTTGTTTTTGGCAGCTGCTTTCTCTGTACCATTGGTGCGTGGATTTCCAGTGTAATTTCTCTGCTAGGAAGTCTTTATAGATAATATACAGTTCAACCCTTTTCACTTTGTCAACTCATTTGACAATAACCTAGGTATCTTGTAATTACTTGGACTTCTTGAAATGCATGTTAATTTTAGCCAGTAATTCAGCGAGGTCTCTTCCCGAGCCCATGTTGAAATTGACTGGTTCATGGGTTTGCAGCCTTGTGAAATGATGATTCAGTTTATCCATTCGCTGAGTGCGCTGCCCTGACCTCCTTCCAAGCCTCGGCTCCTGTTCTGGGATCTCTGGGCTCTGTAGCCCCCAAGTGCCCCGCAGTCCACGGTGTTCTACTGTGGACAGCGTGTGTGTTGGGGACTACCGGTAAGAGTGGTTGGTGTCAGCAGGGATGGGTCCCTGTGGGCCTCATCTCGCCAAGATGAGTGGTGGAATCTGATCACTTGCTGCAGCGTTTTATCTGGTTTTTTAAAGCTCCTAACTAACTTCCATAGCTCTTACCTGTTAGTAGACTGAGACTGTATGGAAGTCTTTGAGTTCTGTTGTCCTTGAGGACTAAGAAATGATACTGGCAGGCCTGAGAAGCAGAGAACCAATAGTGGGGGGCGGGGGATGAGAGCAAATACCTGTAAAAGCAGAGTTCATATATAGCTCAGTTAACTCCTGTTTCATGCACCGGTGCCTCAGGGAAAAGCTAGGGTAGAACACAGGTTTTGGTTCCCTTCAGGGTGGAAGAAAATAGTGACAATTCCAGTACTACCAAAATTTGAACCATAAAGGAATTTGGATGGGGAAGACACGGTACTAAAACTTCTTACAGAGTACTTCCTGTGAGTGGAAACAGTAACAGTATATGTTGTTTCATAAGTATATATCAGGTGAGTCTGTTTTCAGAAATTACTGCAAATTCTGTGTCTGCAGCAGAGCAGTTCTGGATCTATTTTCTTACAACTATTGGGTCAGGCAAGGTATGCGGACCTTTCAGGCTGAAATACGTTTCCTGCTGGTTTTGTCTCCGTGCTTACAGACCATTATCGGCCTCTCCCTGATAGGGATCTTTAGTTCCTTAGGCAGTGGGGTGAAGGGATAATAAAGCAAAATCTTAGAGAAACAATTTGAAGAGAAGACACCCTGATGTAGCATGTGCTAGCTAAGTACATTTCTTCTGCTTTAGGACTGGAAAATAGAAAGTCATTTAAATATATACAAGTAGCCTTTTTTCTCCTGTCGGTAGTAGTTTCCTTGCAACATTCAAATTCTGATGAGACTGTAGGGGCTGGCATATTCAACTTATTACATGAATACGAAACTGGTTAGATTTAAGTGGCTATTCAGCCAGCCTCCATTCTAGCAGATGAGTTACTGTGGAGATGATTTCTTACCATTGTGTCTTGTCGTTTGACTGTGTGGCAGTAGTGTGGATGGGAGTCAAGTTGCCATAACATAACTATCTTTACGTATCTTCTACCGTGGGTCCTGAATTTCTGAATCCTTAGCTTTCTGTGTTGTCCAGTCACATAGGTGCTCTTTGCCTTCTGTGAGCCGTTTAACCTTTTCAGGAGGGAGTGAGTCGTAAGTGGGATCTGGACCAAAAGTCGTCCTTAGTGGTGCGGAGTTCTACAGATTTGTACGACAGGTGAGGGAATGCACAGGTCCTTTGCATTAGTTATTCTCCTTCTTAGCCTCTCTTACCAAACATTCAGATTTCTTAAAACAGGCAGTGCTTGTATATCCTTCTCACGAAGATTGTAATGTTTACTGTAAGGATTAATTAATCTGGAGGGAGGTATATTGGGACTG